AAAAAGTGTGTTAGAGGAGTATACATGGCAGGAAAAAAAGGAAATTTTATAAAGAAGCGAATTTATATTTATGGGATGATCCTTATTTATTCAAGGTAAGTCTTGCTGGTTTAATAAGGAGATGAGTTATTGGTTAAGAAGCGGAAAAATGTGGCATTGTCATAACTCAACTTATGGAGGTCCATCATGGTGAAAAAACTGCAACAAAAATTCTCTAATGGGGTTTCTAGCGGTCTATTGTGTTTAAGGATTGTAAATAATTTATTCAAATATGTCAACAATGCCAAAAGACATGTAACATTTTCAAAAAGAATGAGATGCCTTTAAATGGAATGGTAGAGGTAGAACCTTTTGATTGTTGAAGCATCGACTTCACATGTCATTTTCCTTCATCTTACTCTCATTACTATATTCTAGTTTGTGTGACCTATATAACCAAATGGGTTGAAGCTATAACTTTTGTAGCTAATAATGCTCACAATATCATTAACTTTTCGAAAAAGAGTGTTTTTGCTAGGTTCGAAGTATCCATAGTTTTGATCAGTGATGTGGGGATGCACTTTTGCAATAAGTACCTAGAAGGTGTATTGGTGAAATATAATTTGAAACATAAAGTAACAATTCCCTACCACCCTCAAACTTGCGTACAAGTCAAAATGTCTAACAGATAACTGAAATAGATCATGTAAAAAAAATAAGCAAATTCAAGAAAAGATTGGGCAAAAAAGCTAGATGACGCACTCTAGTCATGTATAACATCGTTCGAAACTCATCAAGGATTTTTGAAGTATCAAGAAGTATACCGTAAAAATTGTCATCTATCGGTAGAACTGGAACACATAACTTATTTGTCAGTGAAGTTTCTAAATTTCAATTAGAAGATGGCTGGAAGAAAGAGGTTGTTGAAATTGAATGGATTAGAAGAGATATGGATCCATGCGTATGAAAAAGTGACTATTTATAAGGAAAGGGCAAAGTGGTATCATGATAAGAACTTGGTTCAACAAGAGCTTCCTCCAGGACAACAATTTTTTATAATTCAAGGTTGAGACTATTCTCTAGTAAGCTAAAATATAAATGGTCAGGGCCATTCGTAATCAAAGAAGTCTCAACGAACGAAGAAGTGGAAATCTAAGACCCTAGAGATGCACACACATCCAAAATGAATGGTCAAAATCTCAAACACTATGAAAGAGGAGAGATTCCATCTGGAAAAGTCTTCTTGATATTAACAAAACCTTAAATCTGAATCGTCAAGCTAGTGATGCAAAAAAAGAGCTTAATGGAAGGCAACCTGTCAGGTAAAAAATTGCACTTCAATTATTTTTGTAATTAAATTTTGTTTAGTTTGTTTTGGCACAGTAGGAAAATAAAGGGAAGAAAGAGGAAGATTGAAGCAAAGGAAGGAGAAAAGACACAAGAGCTACTTGATTTTTCGTGTCATAGTGAGAAACTTTTATGTCATAAAGGTGTAAATCACAACATGATGCATTGAAATTGTGATACGAGTTATGGAAAATAAAGAAACATGAGCTACTAGAAGATATGTGCCACTGTGGGAGAAAATCATGTCATAATGCCTTAAATTGAAACAAGATGCATTGCAACCATGATGCAATTTAAAAATAAATGATATGTTGGGAGAGGAACGTTAAGATTTAACCGTTGGGTTGTGACCATTACGAATCATGACACGATTTATACAGATCGTGACACGATTTGTTCATTACAAAGAGCTATATAAAGAAACCCACAATTCCATTTCATCTTACAAGTTCTCCACTATTACTCTCAAACTTCCTAAATTACCCAGGTTCTTTAAACGATCAAGTTTTCTATATTCTTTTACATTATCCATGTTTATTCTTGTTTATTTAGCAGTAATGGCTCCACCAACTAAGCAAGGAAGAACCATGAGATTGAAAAGCGACTTAGCCCAACAACATGCACCTACTGTTTATTTGTTTTCTACCAAATTTTCAAGTGAAGTTCATGCTGACAAGTGGCTGGAAGTTCATGCTAAAAGCATATCCAACTAAAGTAGGCAAGCTAATGGCAGATAACATAAAATTGAGGCTGACTCTACACAAAATGTTTTCAATCATTGTTTAATTATTAATGAGATTTGTAGGTTAGAAGGGGTTTAAAGTGAACCATATTAGAATAAGAATCAACACTATTTTCATTCAAGGAATGTAGAGAGCCCCTAATTTGCTAATTGGTCAAACCATCAATATAAGAAGAAGAGCAATAACAACTGCATCAACAAGAAATGCCACAACCACAAGGAGCATATCAACAATACTTTCATCAATTCAAGAGCTTCAAATGGGAATGGCCAGGTGGATCTCATATATCTCTTCCAAATTCTACCCCGATCCTCTGACCTTCTATCCCCAGTTTAAATACATCAACAAATAAGGTTTGAGCCAAAAATATAGTTGTTTACTTTTTCCTTCTTATAGAGAATATTCATACAATTGTTTATTTTCTAGAATTTGAGGCTTTTTTGAATGATTTATTGGTCTATTTAGTTTACAAACTGAAGCAATTTTTTAAAACTTTGAGTCTTTTCAAACCATCCTTCATAACTATTTATCTGTTGTTTAAACCCCCTGAACCTATGACCTTTTGTTCCGTAACTTAACTTCATTTTATGCCAATTAACTTGAAAGATTAATCTTTCCACCTTCTTTTGAGTTAGGTAGAAATTTATACTTTTCTTTGGTAATACAAAATATTGAGTTTGGGGCTACTCTTAAAATTAGAAATGATTTAAGTGTGGGGTTGGGTACTAGAGAACATGATTGACAAAAAGGTGAAAGTAAAGAAGTTTAAATAACTTATTTAAAAAATAATAATAAATAAAAATAGCATGTGTCTAAATCCAAATTTTAAGCTTACTATTCAAATATACACCCTTGACATAAGTCTCGTTACAACCTCAAAAGATCTCAAAAAGTGTGTATCAGAATGCAGATTTTAATTAACAACTTAGATTTTTTTTTTTCAAATTCATTATAAAATGACTTTTGTATGTTGATTGAGTGATGACTATATTATTCAATTTGAGTGAAAAAATGAGAATGAGAGACGGGTTGAGTACATCTGAAGTTGGAAAAATTCTTTAAAACTATCTTGATTTAAGCAAGGAATAGAAGTGGCATCTAATTTAAAGAAATAATTTGTGGTGATCATCCGGTTGAGTAAGCATGCTTTTACACTGATTAAAAATTTAGTTTGCAAGCAGGTTCCTTAAGGACAAATAACAATTAAAATTTGAGATTTTGATGACATTCCGTCATCATGTAATTTTATTAGAAATTTAAGATGATTTTATTAGTAGTTAGCAAGGAAATACTAGAATTTGGAGGTAAAATTAGAGATACTTAAAGAAAATACTTAAGTAGTCAAATTTATAATAAAAGAAGAGTTTTGGAATGTTGAATTATCCTTGAAGGTTCTTGAGAAATCGTGCCACGATCTAAAGCAATTGTGACGCGATTCTAGCGAGAATTAGAAAATTGTGACACGGTCAAGAATAATCATGACGCGGTGTTTGATGGATTTAGACTTCTATAATAGAAATTTTTCAAAATTTTCAAGGGTTGGACTTTTTGGAGATTAAAAGTGACAGCAAGAGATATGTAAGGATTTAAATTTTAATATTTTTGTCTATTGAAGACCAAATTCCTTCTCTTATTTCATGTACTGTCATTCTAAACTCATAACTTGATTAATTTTATTATGAGTAACTAATTTCCTCTAAATTATGTCTTTTGAGATAGTGTTAGCTTTATTGCACTATGTAATTGGTGAGTGTTGTTTTATTAATTTGATATTTTAGCGCATTGTTTAATTAATTTGATATTTTAGCATCATTGAGTTAACTTTGATCGTGAAGTTTTTTATATGCTGACGAATATACGAATTAAACTTAGGTTTTAGCTGATTATTCACCATAACTTTTAAAATCTAACATAAGTTAATTGTTCAAAATTAATAATTGCTTTATGAATAAAGAATTATAATTTTGTGATTTAGGAATCAACATAATTTATAACCTGTTTTGATTTCGAATTCACCTAAGGAATTAGGGAATTATATTTGTAAGAGAGCGTTATACGCCAAGAAATTGGGTATAACAAATATGTTAATTCATCGTAATTCTAGAAAATCATTTTAAGAAAACAAGTGCAATTACCAAGTAGTGATAGTTAACAGATTCAAAAAAGACTCGATCTTTTTTATCTTTGATTTATTTTCAACAAAGTCTATTTACTTTTCTGTTCTAAAACTAAACTTTTCACGATAAAATCCCAAATTTATTACTTTGAGTACTTTCGAATTTGGTGTGGAAATTGCACAATTCTGACAAATACAAACATTTTTTTTATAAATATTACCACTTGACGACATTTTAGTTCACTTGCTAAAATCATTCATTGTACGCCATGTTCTAGATCATTGTCCTTAGAGTATAGAATACATATACATCCAATGTTTATAGTGTCAGATCCTTACATTACACCAAATACAAAAGAAGATTTCCATAAGTCAACTCATCAATAGATACTAGAAGAGGAGTAGACAAAGACAGACTATGCTGTTGATGTGTTATCGATATGTCATTGTATTGTGACTATTGGAAGAGATATTATAGTTAGGGCGGGTTTAAGAAGGACACTCCTCAAATAGTCACTTTATAGATCATCTTAGCAAAGACACACTATGTGTTGTAGCATAAGAGGCTATGTGTGTCATGTGCATGCAATAGTTATCTTGTACTTTGTATTTTGATATTAACATTTAAATTTTTTATATTATAATTCGTTGTATTTTATTAATAAAGTGTGGGGTGTAAACACCCTTCACAATCTCCTAAAAAGATCACAGAGGCCCATGGCCCAACCCAATTAAATTAAACATCTTTGATTTTAGAAAATAAAAATAAAAATCTAAAATCTAAACGCAGTGCGAAGTGAAGCAAGACCTAAGAGATGACGATAATGAACTGCGTTTTGTTTTCTTCTTCAATTTCAATTCCAACTCCATCCCCAATTTCAACACAAAAACCCTATAAACACCTCGCTCTCTCTTCCTCTTCCTCTCTATCTTCAATTTCAAGTGTTTCTATTACTCCACGCAAGCAAATCAGAAGAAACAATGGTTTCACATGTAACGCGCTTTTCGGATTAGGTGTACCCGAACTCGTCGTTATCGCCGGAGTTGCTGCCATCGTTTTTGGACCCAAGAAATTGCCTGAAGTTGGTCGCAGCATCGGTAAAACCGTCAAAAGCTTCCAACAGGTTCTTCATTCCCTTTTTCTATCTTCAAACTCATCAATAATAATTGCCAGTTCTCTGTACCACCTACACCCCTAAAAAAAGTGTCTCGGTATCTGGATCCAAAACTGACACTGAGACTTTAATTAATTTAATTTTTAAAATTATTACTGGTATGTTGTATTGTGTTTCTGGTGTCTGTGTTTCATATCTAGGGATTCATATCTAGGGAGTGCGGTTTCTTAGTTGTATTAACATTTTATTTTAGAAATTCTAAAATGTTATCGTAATAGAGCTTGAGATATGAAAAATGTGTTTCTTTTGCTGAAAACTCAAATATTTGTGTATTTCTTATTTCTTAAAGAGTATTTTTGCTTGTTTCTCTTTCTCTTCCTTTGTTTGCTGTTGTTATTCTCCGCTTTTATTTTGGCGGATGTTCATGATTGTTATAAACATTATCACTTATGGCTTCGGATAAATTCAGTACTCTATATGGCATTTGCCATGCACTCAGCAGCCAAATAATTTGGATTATGGCATTGACATTCATGTGAACCAGTGAATCCTATGGTGTCATCTATACAAACTGATAAAAACTTTTCTCATTGCTTAAATTGTTATTTACCATATTTTGTAAATCTTGTAGGCAGCAAAGGAGTTCGAGTCTGAGCTTAAAAAGGAACCTGATTCCACAGGAGGGGAGCCATCTGAGAAATCTATTGCTGGGAGCGAACAGGAGAAGCAAGACACTGAGGTGTCTAGTTCTAAGGATAGTGTATAACATTTGTAAAAGATGTGATATGATAATGTATCAAATTTTCGCCATGACAATGTGTCAAATTATCGAAGACGCCAAATTAGTTGTTGACAGTGTTTGCACTTTATGAAAAGAAGAAGAAAAAAAAGGTCATTGTATATAGTGTTGTTGGAATTTAACATTAAAGTACGTCAATTTACGATTAGTTGTACTACATTGAAGGGAAAATTAAAAATTAAACCATCAATTTAGTTTTTAAATTCTTATTTTTTGTTCAATTTAGTATCTAACCCATATAAATATAATAAACAGTCTTTAAAATATATGAAATTGGTTGATTTAACCTCTTAAATATATAAAACTGACAGAATTATGCAAACAAATACAACCAAAGTATACAATATGCAAAACTCTTCACCAGAAATGTATCACTGACGAAGGGACTGAAACAATATCTCTAGCTAAATTAAATAAAAAGAGAGAATTTTTTTTAGTTAGTGGTTTCTATGTCCCACCAAATAAGAGTAAAGGTAACGGATGTCAATTTCAATTTGTTATCGGAGATTTTTGTTTGTTTGAGACTTTGAAGTCGGAGATTTCTTTTCCTATAAGGACGGAGATGAAAGAAAAATTCCCTGATGACACAATAGGATGGAGTCGGGGAAATATTCTCCGCCTTGCAAATTCTTCGACATTGATTATATTATTTAACTTATATATATATATATATATATATATATATATATATATATATATATATATATATATATATATATATATATATATATATATATATATATATATATATATATATATATATATATATATATATATATATATATAAAGACAAGGAAGCCGATGATAGTCAAATTGACTCTTTCCAACAATTTTTCTTCTAGCACCATTACAAAAAATGTCATGTGTTTGGAACAACCACTATTAAATGACTACTTAGTTAAATGAAACTATTATATAAGTGCGAGCAATGTTGACTTGATATTTAGACTTGACACACCAAAATTGTTAAGGACAAGGGTGAGACTTCATGCTCTACTCTAGATATAAATGATTCTGATGAAGATTTTTACCAAACAGTATATAGAAAAAATGAATATGATCATGTTGACCATAATAATTACATACTCAAGGAGGCATGTTGAGAGGATTCTTGACTTAGACGTTAATATGTTGGTAATAGTGTGTGTGGTAAGTTGTCATGACCTTATACAAGACATCTTGGTTTCCACTTTCTGTGTAGGAGGAACAAACATAATCTCTGGGGTGGATGATCACGTGTATCTATGTGCTTGCAGGTATAAAATTGATGATACTGCAATAGAACATTCTTAGAGTTTTAATGACGACAATGCCAATGACTGTTGAAGTCGATAATAATGACTTTATAACTCTTCGACGATGGTAACCAAACTTAAAGACATGTCAAACCTCATCAAATAGGAGACTTAAGATTCCATTGAAGTGCTTATATGATCTATGTATTTAAAAAAAGATCTTGGAAGCCTCTGAGTAGTGAAAGAGAGAAAGTGTGAAAGATTGCATGTCATGTCTGTCCGAGTAACCAAAGTTTTGTAACAATATGAGAGTAACTCTTAAGATACTGAGGAAACTCACACACAATTAAAATATTTTTTTAACATCTTCTTTAATCATCTAAATTATTAAAAATATTTTCAAAGCCAAACCAAAAAATTAGGAAACTGTCAGCTTCTTTTTTAAGCTTTTTTGAACTACCTAATTGATTAGGTCCTTAAGTCAATCGATTGCACAATAGTTTGTGACAGAATCTTAATGATTAGCAATTACTCTATCCAAACTTTACAAAATAGTCTAGAATAATTGGTTATCTTGCTCAACCAACTGAATTAGCTTTGGAGCCAATCGATTGGGTCATTAAGATCGTCTATGGATCTTTTCCTTTTTTGGATCTTCATTCTTCTATATAAATGAGAGTCCTCTCCTCCTCATTTCACGCCAATTTCCGAAACTCTCTATTTTTTTTTGGGATTTATCTCTTTCTAAAAATATTTTTCTCTCACTTAAATTTCCTTAGTGCTTTTGAGTTAAAATCTACTTGTGAAGAATAAGTTGTATTGGTGTCGTGTTGTTGTTATAGCTCTCAAGAATGTGATACTCTTGAGGAATCGAGTTCAGTTCTTGAGATAAACCAGTCATAAATTCTCTGTTTTAGTTTTAGAAATTTTTCTAAAAAAGTTATGTTAGGTTTTGAGATAAGCTTGGAAAATCTCTACCTATAAAAGTTCAAGTTTATAATCTAAAAATCAATAAGATCTCTTGAGGGACAGGAGTAGGCCAACGTTTGACCGAACCTAGATAAATCACTTATTTCATCTCTCTACACCCTTATATTTTAATTTTTGTGATTTATTATTTATTTTTATTTTCACTATTCAATTTATTATGATCTTAAAGAACACCAACATAATTCATTTCTTAAGTAATAAAAACTTAAAATTAATCGTCATTTTGATTGATGATATACAACAAATGATAATATCATTCATACTAGTAGTGAAACTAGTGCATTAACATTGACTGATGTTCCTCTTGCTAGTGCTTCAAATTAAATTTGGGAGCAAGGTTATTTCAACTATGTGATGAAAAATGCTTTAACTACTAGTGTAAAGTCGGAATTGTTTTCTTACTTAGAAGATGACATCTTGCTTAGTAAGGAAAAATGGAAATAATAGAAAATTTTATACTAGAATGGTGGAAACAAAATGGTTTGAAATTTCCAACTTTGCAAAAGATTGCAAGAGACTTTTTAGTAGGGGTAGAAAACGGGCTTGCCCTCCCCATTTCCGCTCCGCAAAAAATCCATAAAAAACAGGGAAGATATAGTTGAGAGTGTGGGCCTAAAACATTGACTCGTCTTGGAAAAAATGAGGGCGTGGTGGGGTGAGCCCGCAGGCATTGCATCTTTTAAGTCTACAAGTTGCAAAATTTTATTTTAATGTCCGCGGCCGCAAAAGCCTGGAAAAAATGGGACTAACATAACAGACATCTTAGAGGATGCGAGTCTAAAACCTTAATCCTCCCCACAAAAAAATACGGGCAAAATGGGCAATATTCAACAATCCGGACCCATTTTTCCACTTCTACTTTTTAGGGATCCCTATCTCTACAGTTTCTTCAGAGTCTTCATTTAGTGCTAGTGATCGTGTTATAACTCCACAACGTAGTAGGTTGAATGAAGACACTTTAGAGGCTTTAATGTGTGTCCATGATGGATTTCAAAAATAAATGTAAGGTGATATATTTTATATTGAGTTCATCTCTATTTATCATTGTTATAACCATAATTAATTTTAAAAAAATGTATTTTAGCTATTTGTTTATTAGGTTTAGGTTATCTAAAGACATTTATTTCCTTCGAATGTATTGATGAGGATATGGATGATGATGATGATGACGACGAAGAGAAGGAGGAGGAGGTAATGTAAATATTATTGTTGGCTAATTTCATATTTTAAAATTATTTTGTGTTTGTATATATGATTATGTGTTTAATTTTTGAAGGAAAAAGTGAAGCATAATTGTGGAATGGTGATGAAGACCTCACAAGGAAAGTAAAAAAGATGGAGATGATATCATGATTTTCTTGAATAATTGATTAATATTCTAGTTTATTTAGATTAATTTTATCCAAAATAACTTTATTTGTCTACTTTTGTTGGATAATTTTCTTCATATTTTAGATTATCATCAAATTCTATTTTGTTATGCATTATGGGATGTTTACCAGTGATTTTTTTTTGATATTTGACAACTCTTATTTGTTATTTTTTCTATGCATTTTGAGATATTTTGGTTATGAATTTTTGTATGATTATGCATGGTAACAATAGGTTCTGTTGAACATTTATTTATTTTTACAAAAAAAATTAGGAACTTCAAGTACAATTGAACAAATGGGCCAGACCTAATCCAAAATCGAAAAAAACCATGAAAAAAGGGATTTGGTTGTGCATGTTTGGTTTGACAGGTCCACTGGTTGGCCCAGTCAGCCTTATGTGGTTAAGTTTGGGCTGGTTCGAACTTACTTATATGGGCCACACTAAATCGGGTTGACCCGATTATTATTTATTTAATTTTTATTTCATATTCATACGATATTGTTTTGGGTTAGGGATGACAATGGGCAGGATATGGGTAGGGTACTATAGTACCCGCCCCCATACCCGTGGTTGTGAAAAATCCTCGTACCTGAGCCCATACCCGCTTGGATAACAATATTAGCACCCCTACCCGTGCCCTTTGGGTATGTAAGTACCCGTATCTGTTACCCGCATTTTTAATAAAAAATAAATAGATAGTATAAATATAATATTATTTTAAGTTGTCAAGAACATTTAAATTTTTTCAATAAACTTATTATTGAATTATTAAATAAAAGAACACTTATGTTACAAATGCAATAGTTTAACATCGATGTATTTTTGAAAATTGATAGACATTTATATATATATATATATATATATATATATATATATATATATATATATATATATATATATATATATATATATATATATATATATATATATATATATATATATATATATATATATATATATATATATATATATATATATATATATATATATATATATATATATATATTGTGTGTGCGGGTATGGGGTGGGGTGGGTACTTAGGTGCTCATACCCGCACCCATACTCGCTTATTTAAGTGGGTGATTATCCAAGCCCGTGCTCGTACCCATTTGTACGGGTTTTTACCCTACCCGTTGTGGGGATTTTTGTGGGTACCCAGTGGAGATGGGTCAAATTGCCATCCCTATTTTGGGTTCACATCTTTTAATCACTTAACCCTAATGTTACTTCTCTCATACTCTCACACTCATTCTCAGCTCTCAGACATTACTTCTTCCTTAATCCATTCTATCTCTCATACAGAAAATCATAAGTTTCAAATTGTCGTCGTTGTAGGAAGCCTATAATGGCGTAGATTCTTGCATCCAC